CCTTTTCTCTTTATTATTAAGACTTCTCGAAGGGTCTTGCAGTTCTATGTTAGACCATGGATCATTTGCATACACATTGTCTTTTGTGTCACTTTTATAACTTTTTTACGGTTCAGATACTCATCTATATGTCTGTACAGAAAAAAGCTGCTATTTTTTTTGTTCTTTATCTTTGTGGATTTAATCTATGAAAACCTTCAGGTCTGCCCTCCTCCCCTTCCCTTCCCTCCCACTTCAACAAATTTTCTTATGCTTTGTACTATAATGTGTAACTTTTACTTCCTCCTTCCCAGTAACTGATACCTTTCATATGATTTGCCATGAACTGTTTAATGCCTTTTTATAAATACATTTCCTCCTTCCCCCCCCCCCCCATTAGTTGTTTTACAACATCTTGGCTGTGTGGGTTACAGGGCTTTTGAGGGGGACATGGCGAAAGAAGGGTCACCCTGCACAGAAACACTCTAGCAGCGCTGTGATGTGGTGTTCTTACACCCCACTTCTCCTTCCTTCCCGCTAACCTCTGCCCAGACAGCATGCGAGTCTGTTACAGTGCAAGGCATGATACAAACTCAGGTCAGAAAAAAAGGTTAAATATTTAGTACATTCTTGTTCAGTGTTTATATTCATTGTTGTACAAGGGTCCTACCCCTCCTTCCCTCCCTGCTTGTTTTGGTTGTGGCACACATCCACTCACCCATCCCCACACACGCTCCCCACACCAACACATACACACACACACACGCGCACACACACACACACACACACACGTAGGTTTCTTTTTATTTGCTGGGTACTACAGCAGACACCAGGCTTTTGAGTCACTGATTTTCATGACTATTTTAACCCTTCCATCCTGTGAACAAGAGCTATCCCGAGTGCAGCTGGTGGTGCTGGGCGTTCTTGGGATGGCCGTTAAACGCCTGGCTCCAGCACGCCCCGCTCTGGGCCTCCCCGACGAGGGGGCCCTCGCGGAGGACAGCCTGGGCTGCCCTCTCTTCGCGCCCCTTGCAAAAAATGGCATGCCATTTCCATGGGGCTGAGTAGGAAGCACGTAGCTGGGGCCACCGGCTTGGCTAGCAAACAGTTAAGCGTTGGCAGCTATGGAAACCTGTACAAGTACAAGCTTGTTGCTTAAATCATAGACCAAACCTCAGAACAAAAGAAAATGAGTAAGCTTGTTTGTTCAGTTGCAGAAGCCTTGGTGAAGGGGGAAGGAGGGGGCCGTCATAAAGTCTACAACCCAGGAGTCATACCAGTTGCTCATCTTAAGTTAGTTACAGCATCTAAGCCTTTGTTTAGCACTGATCCAACCAAATGATGGCAGTGAAGAGGTGGTTCTGGGATGGAAACGTTTAAATCTTTTGAGTAAGAACAAAGAATTAACATATACTGATTGCTAGTTTTGACTGGAGATTTAAAAAGTTTGTAGTGCTTTTTGCTTGTGTAGTTTAGGTCCCATTATCTTCTCTTGCCTCTGTCCCATAGTTATTTTTCCCTTTTAAAAACGAAAAAGACAAAAAAGTTAATTAAGAAGGTATTCTATGTAGGATTTTTTATTTATTTTTGTGATATCAGTTTAAATCACTGTAGAGATGCCCCATAATAAATTTAAATACTGAGATAAGGGTTTTTGAGTATGACAGGGGGACAGTTTTTGATTTTTTTCAAACATTTATCTACCTCACTCTTATTTTTTTATATGTGTGTATATATATATAAAAAAAAAAATACATCTCACATTTCTCAGCAGCCAATAAATGCCGTTGATACTGGTAACCTCTCACTCCATAAACCACATGCTCTAGGTTCTGGAGGGGAACAGTCACTGCCTATCACAAAGGGTCACTTCAGAATATTCGCCTGAATTCCAAGGGTTTGCCCGATTTTCTGGTTGCAGTTTTTTTGTCTTTATTGTGGGAAGAAATTCAAGAGTTGTTTGGCTTAAGGTGACCACTCCTTAAGGAATCACAAAGGCTTTCTGATGTGCTGTCACAGCAGTCCTTAGTTCAGCAACAAAACGCTGCATGTCTAGCTGAGCGGAGACATAACTGAGAAACCTGATACAGGAACTTTGAACTATGAGTATTTGATCAAATTTGTTACAGAAATCAGTTGTTTACAATATTTGAAGGTCCAGAAGCGCTGTTAGAATGAAGTACATGATTTTTCTATTTATCCAGTAGAGTGGGCTAAGCCATTCCTGCCAGTTTTCTCAGATGCCACAAGCGCCGAAAGGACATTTGACTGAACCAACACCTAAAAAGAAATTGGATCATGCAGCAATAGTATTGCTTTCTTGACCAAATCAAACAGTGGAAAAACTGTCGCAGGCTGCCTGATGAGAACGCTACACCGAGTTTACAATTGTAGATCCTTGCTGCTTCTGTTTGATGAGAGCACTGTTTTTTTTTTTTTTCAAAACTAACATTGAATTGATTTTTTCTAATGTGCCAGTAAAAATTCAGTTCCCTTTTTTACCCTGTTTATATGCTTCATGACTGTGGATTCTGATGGACCAGCCATCAAATTTTAATTGCCCTCTGACAGTGTGTGACTGGTTTACAAGCACACGGTACTAACACGAGCTTGCCATCCACATGATGTATAATGTTTCTCTTTTTCCAGTTCTGGCAGCTGTTCGTGCAGGTGTTGGTTGCAGTATCTGAATAATGTGGTGCTTGGCTACTTGGAGTTGTATGTGGCCTCTTGAATATACAGCGCTGTGGTTAAGTACTACAGTTTGTCTTTGGAGGGAGTATTTCTCTCTCACCCTGGAAAACCAACGAAATTTAAAGTTTTTACTGGGTTATTTTTGTTTTTCCATTTTTATTCGCTTCCAGTGACCTTTTGGTGTAGTGACTCTTCCCCTCTTTTGCACATATTGATTACCACAACTGGAGATCCTCAGATCTTTCAGCTGGCTAGGAGGGTTTTGTTAAAACTGTCCAAGTTACTGGTTTTTTTATAATTGTATGTAGGTGGTTTAAAAAAGCATTAGGAAAAAACACTAACAACGTAGCACCCATCATGATGAGCATTTCTAAAAGCACTTCAATGGAAGAACAGTTGTGTGACTAAAAGTATGCATGTGTGATGACAGTCAGCTCTCCTGGACCAAACCACCTTCATGACACCATTGCGTTCTGTGTTTGCAGTTCAAGCTTAATTCCTTTTTGTTTTGTTTGTTTCCATAGCTTTTTTTGTTGTTGTGTTTTTGTGCGTTTTGAATAGCTTAATTCACATGGGTTTTTCATGCAGACTTCCCTTTGACAGTAAATCAAGATGTTTATGCATGTGAACAACTGAGAACTAATGTTGGCTTGATGCGGTCATAATATGGTTTGTAACGTTGTTCTTCCCTGAGACCACTGGCTTGTCTGGTACGGAAGTTTATTTAGAACTTTAGCTATGTTTGAATAAAGTTGAAGTAATCCAATTTGTTCCTAAATTGAAAACAAAAGCCCACGCAGCCCTGAAAACCAGCATTTTGACAAATGGTACCAAGATGTTTTAATGCAATAGCGCAACAAGCTGGCACGCTAAGGGGAGCAGGAAGCTTTGGTTTGAATACTTGGGCCATTGTTCCCACCTGACTCACATTTTAAAGCTTTTCAGTGGCACAGAAGGTGGTTTGGTTGCAAAGGAAGGTGGCTCTTATGTAAATACAGAAGTGTCAGATGCTTGGTACTAAATAAGATAATCTTTTGTGGGAGCGATAAAGTAGAGACACAGAAGCCAGGCGTGATGAAAAGTCTGAGGCCAGCCTCTGTTCCCCAGGTCTTTCTCGGCGTGACGCCTCTGCTCTTTAAAGCTGGTTCTAAGTGATGTATGGTTCTAGATCTGTTCGCACTGATGCTCCTGTTGGTCTTCAAAAACAAACAAACAAAGCCCAGTTTGCCCAGGATGACTGGTCACCAGACGGAACTGCTGTTAGGTCCTCTGGGAACTGCTGAGGGGTGTTTAGTACAATCTGAGTCTAAATGAACAGCACTCCAATTGATGGTGTAACTCCATACATATATATCTATATATACATATATATATATGTGTGTGTATATATATAATATAGATATATATATGTAAACCTTTTCATTCCATTAATACAAGTGACACTTGTTTCCTGTTATTCTTATTTTGTTTGTCAACAGTGTATTTAATCACTGGGCTAAACGACAGTGGGGGAAGGTGCAAGGGATCCACTCCTTACAAACCAGTGATAAAAGCCAGATATTGCAACTTAACCCATAAGTAGTTGTGCAGACACGAGTTAAAGAATGATGTGTAGGAAAAACAGTAGTGGCCAGGGGTGCTGAAGATACAGAACTGTAAATAGGCAGGAAGGCTCCAAAGGATGCCTCACTTCAGAAAACTGGTTGTTTAGAGATAAGGAAGAGTCTCTGAAATTACGAGCACAGCCGGGTAAATCAGAATTGAGAAATGTTTGCATGAAGATGTGTGAAAACAAAGGCTGTGGGAACAGGTATTTACAAAGACACAGGGCTTGGCAGAAGTTTGAGGTAGTTTCCTGAGCTTGCTCTGTGGGACAGCATCAGAGCTCAGGTATCACAATTCTGATCGTTGGTACTTGTAAACAAACCTCTTGGCTTTCCAGCTGGAGTGGCAAATTCATTACCAGGAGTTTAACGGTTGTTATCATCGGTCTATGTGAATCAGAGTCTCAACTTACAGTTGGTCTGTTTTGCAAGTACCTTAAGACTATCACTAGTTTGTGTGTGTGTATGTGCGTGTGTTCATCATTTTTTTGTATGCGTTATGTTGATTAGTAATCCATTAGCATTTTCAATAGGGCTTTAAGTCCAGTAGATTACGGGTAGTCAGTTGACGAAGATCTGGTTTACAAGAACTAATTAAATGTTTCATTGCATTTTGTAAGTACATAGAATAATTTTATAAAATGTTTGTAGTTTCTAAATGCCTAAAATATAATTTAAGGGCACTTTTCTGTGTCTGTGTGTGGGTGTGTCTGTATGTGATCAGTTTTTTTTTTTTTTTTTTGATGGTACCAGTTTACTAGCTAGCTTTACAATATGCCAAAAAGGATCACTAATTTGTCCAATTCATGGCTCGTCCCTCTCCCCCTACCCGCCCAAGCTGTGTGTCCCAGTATATAGTGAATGAATAAAGGAGTTGGGGAAATGTTCTGTATCTTCAGTATCCTGGTCTTCCAGAGCCCTCTGGTTGGGGTGGGATCATCTTAACTGGTCATTTCATTTTACTGTATAGTGCAGTTAACTTAATGGATTACAAGAACCTCACTGGTGGTGGAAACGGAATGGGCTTTGCTGCTACGCAGTCTCACTTGTGTTATTCAGTACCTGCTTTATTGTTGCCAGGTGGTTTGAAGGATACGAGGGCATAACAAAAAGAGGGAAGGCAGTTTTCATAATTACTGTGGAAGAACTCTTTCAGGTTGCTTTTATTGCTTTAGATCGTTGTATGCAGCCTCTACAGATACTGAACACCATTTAAAGCTTGGTTGAAATGAACAAGGTAGGGTCCCTATTTATTTTTATTTAATGCTGAAGATCCCTTCCCCCCCCCCTCCCCCCTAAATTTGACTAACGGCATTTCTGAAGGGTTATGTGGGTTTAGATGCTGTTTAAGAATCAGTTCTTCTGTTTTCTAAACCAGTGAGGTTTGAGATGAAAGGATTGGCCAGAGTTTGTCTACCTCTGGGACAAAAACAAAACTAGAAAGTGCTAAGGAATGGATGCAGTTGCAAATACAACATTTTCCAAGTTTTCTTGTTTAAATTTTTTAAAAGAAAATTAAACAACATGGCCAATTTATTACATAAAAAGACTTGCTGTGTATAAATTATTCCTAAAGAAATTCCTGTGTTTATATTAAAATGAATCAGTAGATAAAAATTTCAAAATGTTTTTGTATATTCTGTTGTAAGAATTTATTCCTGTTATTGCGATATACTCGGGATTCTTTACATTATGAAAAAAGAAACTTTGTCTATTTTGAATGGCTGAAGCTAAGGCTCCTTTAGTTTCTCTTACTCTGCTTTTTTCTAGTAGTTTCAGTACTACATGATTTAAGTTAAATAAAAGAATTCTGTATGCATTTGTCTGCTGCTGACTTTGTTGCTCCTTAGGCAAAGCAAGTACAAGTTAGAAAACCCAGAGTAAATCTTTGGGTTTTTGTTTTTTGTCCTCCCCCCTACCCCCCTTTTTGGGTTGTATTTAATTGAGTAACTGAATGAATCTTAGTAGAGGTCGGTACTGCCATTATGTTGTCTTGAAATCAAAAGTCTGTTTTCATCCAGTGGCACTGAGCTTGTGCCTTCTTCTCCGATGGGGCTTCTGAGTCCTGTTTTGCAGTAGATATTTCCTTTGAATGAGGTATGCATTTTTATCCATCTATTTAAAAGAAACCCTTTCCTTTACACTTACGGCAATCCATAGATGAGGCATTCGGTTATCCAGCATGTGGTTATCAGTTTTCTACAAGGGTTGCTCGAAAAGCCACTGGCAAGAAAACTAGCGTTATCCAATTCCTCTGACCCTTGTCATTAAAGTGTTGACTAAGATAAAGCACAGTGGTGGCCTGAAGTTTGATCAGGTGGCCATACTGTTAGGTTTGTCTGTTCTGTCTACTGATGTGATGCTTGAGGAATGGGCTTTTGTTTCCCTTGGAGAAATAGCAGATGTCCACGTTAAGCTGCTGCTGTTCTGTTCCAATGACCGTTTTTGAAAAATACCTGCTAATTTTATCTCATCACAGTCTGCTGTGCTGCTAGCAAAATTATCAAGGAGAACATGTGTTGAAGTTCCCTGTGTGCTAAAGAGGATATGCTGGACACCTTCCTCTTACCCACCTTAACAGCATAGTACTTCTGTATTTAGCTGGGTTTGAGACATGGAGGAGCCTGGCTTGGCAGGGGAGAAGCATAGAAGTAAGTGATCTGTCACTGTCCAATTCCAAGCTTTACAACTTGGGATCTCATTTGGTTCCTGTGTTGCAAGTAGGATAACATGCCATAACACATTCCACAGCACAGTGCTTCAATAGCTGCCTTTCTTGGGATAAGTTAAGCTTTTTGATTTTGATCTGTAAATCTCTGAATAGCTGTGACCCATTCTACTGAAAGACTTGTCTTCCCTATGCTATGCTATGCTATGCCTTGTGGAAGGACTGTGGTGTTTTCCTTTGGGGCAGATACTGAGAATGTTGGGTAAGCGTTGTTTTCAGGGCGTTGAAACCCAGATTACTAACAGCGTTAAGAGTTCCTGTCATGTTCTAATATTCTTTTTTTTTTTTTTATTATTTTCTTCTAAGTCAGCACAGGTTCAGCATGTCACTCAGAGATGATGTATTTTAAAACTTCACGTAACAGGATCTCTGCACGTGTTTTGTCCCCCCCCCCACCCCGCCCCATTTAGTTTTTATGTGGGCATTTTGTACAGCTGAACTATCTCATTGGACTGTGACTGGGGATGGAGGGGATTTCTGTTATATCCATCCAGTGCTGCATGTCCTTACAGCTGCAAGCGTGCATCTTGATTTAACAAGGCTGTAGTATTGACTTTCTACCTATCAGAACTAGGATTAAACTCACAGAATATTTTTTGTACTTGGATATTTTTTTTTTGCTTTTTAAGGATTTTAGAAAATATACAACAGAAGTCCAGTTTCACATGCTTTCTTAAATCTGAAGCAACCTTATTTTATCACTGTTAGTAGTACAAACTGTCAATCATTTGTTTTAGAGAGATGTAAACAGTTGTTTGCTTTATGTAAGAAGATTTCATTGAAAATGATACAAAATCCTTTATCTAAGTAAGGGCTTTAAATAATCTTCAGAGGTGCTTTATTTAAGAGTTAAGGAATTGTATTCTAAGAAATATTAGTTACTTCTCTATGAAATGATCTTTCTTTGTTTCTTCTCCGCACTGTTTTAACATTTCTAAGATAATTATCTGTAATGCTTTTCCTAGAAAGTCTGCTGTTACCGATTTGGATAATGGAGGAACATGGATGAAAGCTGCTCTTCCATTGCCGTAGTACAGAGAAGTGTAATAGGTGTAATCACAGATGTACCTGCAGTGCACAACAACAACAAAAAAAAGCCCAGAAACCTGCATTAAGGAACAGTAAACCTTGATTAAATTTAAATACACGTTAAGTAGCCAAACCAGATCTGGTTAAGGAAATTATTAGAAACTTATTTGCTTAGTGAATAAAGAAAATGCAGAAATAAAACGTGTTTGAGAATCAAATATTCTTTATCTGATGGTTTGGTTTCTCAGACACCTACCCAGAAGGAACTAAAAAAAATAACAAATCGCAGTATATGCAATCATTTTTAAGCTTCTATAAGCTAAGTCAGATGAGAAAACTAGTGCAGCCCACTGGAACTACAACCATGCCGTTATAGTGGTTTACTTTGTTCAACTTACACAAAACCTTTAATAATGTCACCATTTTTAATGTGGAGACCCCAATCCTGAAAGGTTAGCTGATTTTTTTTAAATAGGTCTTTTTCTGTTCTCTTTGCTTTCCTTTGAAATAAAGACTAGCTTAAAAGAAAAATACTTCAGTACCAGCAAAAACACCTGATGAGATCAGGCATCTTTCGAAAGGTGCCTGTAATTGCTCTGTTCTTTAGTGTAGGTATTTATTTTGTATCCCTCCCAGCTGGGAAAAACAGGATAGATTAAAATCTGCTACTAGTCAGTATTGCTTTCAGACTCTAATAGCGCAGGTCTATTGGAGTTGCTAATCACAGGGTATGCTATGTCGAAACTTGTTTCTTCTGGAATTCACAAATCTATGGAAAAATATCTACAGGCTGCAGTTTTTCAAAGCAAGCTTATTTACGTAAAATTTAAATTTGTCCCAATTTCATGTTGTGCCCCTCTGAAGGTTAAGGCTTTAAAGTGATTTTGGTTGGAGGAAAAGTCATTGTAAAGCTCTTTCAAGGTGAAATGAGCTGACTGCATTACTTCTGCTTTTACTGTGAGACCCCTGATACGCAATGTTTACCTTCCTGCATCTCTGGAAAAGATTATATCAATCCCTTCCACTGAAATATTCTTCCAGAGAGTCTTCATGTTAATTGTAGATTCAATCTTTTCCGGACCATCTAGCATGCAACAGCCACCTTCTGGGTGAAAACCACAAGCATCCATCTCTTGGTAGCCTTTGTTCTTCCCACACTGCTCAAGGATGATGATTGCTTTGGCGGATGAAGCCAGCCCAACATGAACAGTAAGCTTTTTTTCCCACCGGAGTGAATAACAGGAAATTAAAAAGGAGACCTGTTTTTAAAAACATGTAATACAATAGTGCCAAGCATTATGTGAAATACTAGCTTCAAGGTAGGGAGTCTTGCTGTAGCTCATACCTAAAGAGAACTTTGATAACAGATTATAAATGAGAACAAAGTAGTGCTTTAGTTTGTTTTTGTTGTGTCTAGTTAGCTCAGGACTTCAGAGCTACAGTATCTTTTCCACAATTTATGGCTGATCTTTTTTCTTCGTTCTGCATGCAGTTATGCTGTTAAAAGAGCATGCTACCTATTGTGTGCTCCGAATTTCAACTTGAAACCTTTATCACAGTTTTAATAGTAACTTTACAGAGTTGTCTTGATGTACATCTTGTGCAATAAATACTCTTTTGGAGATCAGTATTATTCAGAAATGAAGCAGAAAATTTGTCAAACTGTGTAATAACTCACCAGTGGCTGAAGAGTTGTCCATATCTTGAAAACTTGCTCCTTTACTTTTTGATAGACCACTGGCAGCTGCATGATATGGAGATCTATGTTTTTACCAAGGCCTTGCTTAGACAGCTCCTATATATATATATATACAAAAAAAAAAAACAGCATGCACTTGTAAGAGCTTTGGATTTCTCAGACCGTGATAAAGAAATCACTTTGATCCAACTGAGAAAACATATGAAAGAGCGATGTAAAAATGCTGCCTCACCCCATAGTTCGCAAACATCGGTGGGTGGGCAATGAGACCTAAATGTCCTGCAGTAAGTAGCTCTCCTTTTTTTAATTGAAAGAAACTAAAATGTGCTAAATACTTCTCTAAAGTCACTTCCATGTAAGCCCTTGTATTTTCCAGAGGGATGCTCCAGTATCCAGTGGGTGGAATTGGTTTATGTAATCCTTATTGCTTAGAAACTGGTCCATGAGGAAACATGGAAAAAACAGGATCTCAGTAAAGATTCACACTGAAAACCCATCATAAGCTTTGATATAGGTAGAGCTGTTCCTCTGAAAGATTTAGGGGTTAAAGCTGTGCTTCTGAAGAGAGACGGATGAGGGAGAACTCACATTAGTTTTCCACTCAAGTAGCATGCAGTCTTCTGGCCTGAACTGCTCCAGGTCACCTCTGCTAGAGAGGATTCTGTCAACATGAGGAAAGTCACATTTAGAATAGGTTTAATTTCTTTCTGGTCTAAAATATATTTCTCTAATAAAACAAGGAAATGTCACCCTTTTGGGGTGAGATTTCTCTGTCATATGTTGTAGAGCTGAAGTTCCACAAGTGGCCTTTTCCCAAAGGAAACAAAAACTGAGTCCAGGATTGAAACAAAGGCATCCTTTAAAGCAAGACACTGGCCAGGTGGTTGGCAGATGTTCTGGAGAATTGTCAACGATGAATGCAGAAATGACTTGAAAATATTTTGTCACTGGAATAGGGCTAATTTACTAAGGTTCTAAGCAGAAAGCATGCTGCTGCAATGGCAGGATGCCGAAGGAACGCATCTGAGGCAGAAGGGTTTATCCCAGAAAAGTAAGGTGGTGCATGAAAATCCCTATTGCATATAGGTAAATAGACCACTACTAAAGGAGTACACAGATGAAGTTTCTGAGGGGGGGGAGAGAGAGAGAGAGAGAGAAAGAAGCCTGCAGCAGGGGTATCAGATTGGACCAAAAAGCCTGTAACTTTTTTTTTTTTTTTTAATGTTTTTGTCTTTCCAAGCTTTCACTTCTCAGTAGGGATACTCGTGTGGACGTGGCCCACAGTTCTATGCTGTGTTAACTGGGAAATTTGCCCTTCAACACTGGCTTCCTATATAAACTGTTCCAATTTTCTTGTCAGCGGAAACATTGATTAGCTGTGCTCAATAAACTATTTGACACAAGCAAGGAAACAATGCCTGCAGGGAAGTAAACACATTTAGAGAACACTGCTAGCCTTTTTTCCTCTGGGCACTAAGAGTCTTTGAGAGGCCATTGCATCATCTTGTTTAAGAATGCTGTGCTGTGTCTTAGCTTCTAAAAAAGAAACCCCAGCCGGTTCACAATTAGCGTTTTATTTTCTAAAACATCTTTAATTTTAACATTTAATGAGACTCTTCCTTTTTAACTGTAAGGCTTAGAGGACTTGACTAGCTGCAACTTCTTCGCAGAATGTGAGACCCAAGGTTGTTAGAGTTGGCTATGTCGATTCAGAGGGCACAAGAGAACAGACTGACAAGTCTGTTTGCGTTATTGCTATTTCTCCCAGGAGAAACACCCAGGGACGCTCTTTGCGCAGGACAAAAATGGAAGCCGGTCAACAGAAAAGTGCTGAGAATTTGTGTCAAAGGAAGACAAAATGTGCTAAATCCTAAGTAATTCCAGCATGTTGTCAATACAGTATATTACTTTGGTGTCTAAGAACCCTAACCGTGGATTGTACCCCATTAGATCAGACACTGGACAAACGTGGAACAAACAAATAGGTTGCTACTTGTTTTGGTTAAGGCTAAGTTTACCTGAGACTATTTTAGCATCCAAGATAAGAGACTGAAGATGGGTAAAGAAGACTGTATCTGGAAACTAAGAGCTGACACTGGTGAGCTGATTCAGTAAACAAGTGTCTGTCTTTTGTAATTGAAATGGGAAAGGAGGACAAAGGTTGTGGAGGATTTTTTTTAATGGGAAAACTGATTCAAAAGTCAGAGTCCTGATTCATCAGAGTTCTGGCCCACGTTGTTATGCAACTCCCTCCAAAGAGGACTGATCCGGACAGAACAGTCGAGCTCAGGTGCTGTGGTTATATGTCACATAAGGTATTACAAGCATCTTGAACTTCTAGAAAACTGCAGAAAACTTCACTGAGTTTGTGAGATTTGGTTGACAGAAAAGTTCTTTTTCTCCCCGCATGTGTTATTTTTTGAACTTCATTCAAAAAGGCTTATGTTGGTGCAGAAAGAAGAAAAATAAAAGTATCAGTTGACCCAGACCCTGCAAGGATATTGCAAGCAAAGCTGATTTTAAATCCTGCAGATACATTTTTAAAGTTTTTAACAAGTTAAGAAAGTTTCAGAACAGAAATGGAGGAACTAAATAACAGAGTCTTCCTGGTTTCACAGATGATGAAACTAAAGCAGAGAGAGAGAGATTAAATGACAAATTTCCGAAGACCACGTGGTCAGTGGCAGGATGAAAAATTGACCACAGAGATCTGATCTTCATCTCCTGATAGCAAAATGTAGTTCCCAGAAGCAGCTGGAAATGTGACCTGTTCTTTGCACCAACAGTTTAATTGCCATGAATGTTGCCACTTGACTTATATTTATGTCCTATTAACTGGGGACTTCGACCTTGCTGGTAGATTGCCCTGATAGGATATTTAGCTACCAAGTGCCAGACACAGGAGTTTCTGGAGGAGACACCGAAACAGGATCAGATCAAGGGTTATTAAGTGGGATCATCAATCTGTAATATGAAATAAATAAGCCAAAGGATCTGGGTTTCTAGGGGTCCCATGAGGTGCTGAAGTGCTAACACATCACTGTGCCTCAATGATGTGATCTGTCAGCAAATGCAGAGTAAATATTCTGTGTTGTTTTCCTTTAGAGAGAGAGTGCTCTGCATTTCAGGAGCTAAAAGGTGCTGCTAGTGAAGTTTTCGTGCATGTTTCAGGAGGGTATTTCAGGTGAATGGAGTTATGAGAACCATGAAAAACTTACTGAGACAGGTTTCTAAAAGAGAAGCTGTCTTTCTAGTGCTAGACAACCGTGTCAGGCCGTGTGAGAGTGTCTATAAAAACTCTGAAGCTTTTCTCAATGACCCTGAATTGACAGGTTCACCTGTGCTTTCAGTTCCTTTTGATTATCCTTTTCCCTAAACACTCAAGAGGGGTACTTGCTCAAGAATGAGAAATCTATGGAAGTGACGGTGATGGATGCCTTGTGCATGAATCTTCTTGCGCTGTAATGAGAGCTTGGATTCATGCAAACACAACAGATGCTCTTCACATGCTCTGAATGTTTTATTTCCATATTATAAGACAGGCAATACAGGACAGTGTGTTGCTATGTAGTACAATAAGCAATTCAAAAATCCAGTACAAGAACTCTTTCTAAACCAGCAGGAAAAGTCAAGGATTTGGAGAGTCTTGTTAGTGTTTATCATCTGATTGCTTGGAACGTCAGGAAATGGAAATTGGTTTGTCCACCAAAAACAGAGTAGCAATTAAGCTGTCAGAGAAACAGCGTCACACAACTATTTTTGAGTGCCCAGTGAAAGCATGGAAGGGATGGAAGTGTTGGGCTGGGCTGGGCTGGGCTGGGCTCACTGGATCAATCTCTGATCCTTGCCACAGCAAGGAGAGAGATTCAGGAAAACTGCTGACCCCATCAGAAGGCAGAGCGCAAGAGCTGCCAGCCTGGTGGGGAGAAGCTGGCAACAGGGACCTTAAGGAAGAAGCAGATCTGTGTAAGAGTAGGTATTGCCCGCACACGAAAATCGTTGCTCTTGGGTTAAGACGACTCCATTTCAAAAAAGCATTGAGGGTGAGACTTGTGCTTTGAGAATTAGGACCCTGGGACTCCTAATGCAGACTTCTACAGGATTTGGGATAATTCTGGTGGGAGGACCCTTCTGGGATGTGGATTCTTAATATGGTAAGTACCAGTGTTAGAACAACGCTGAGCATCTCCTGGCATCAACCAGGGTTTTGATGAAAGCCCAGTTCATTCCGAGGTAGTAATCAGGGGCGTTCTGGATAACGCTACATAAACATATAAGCCTTAGTAATCATGTTCAGTAGCACTGGTCTGGCTGTTCCGTACTTTCTTGATGGAGAGTTTGAGTGTACTCTTGCCTGGTTCTCAGAGAAGAGACTCAGCAGGAGGGCTTCCTGTCACTTTAGTGATCCATGCAGGAACCCCAAGCCAAATCAGGATGACTTCCAGATGTAAGTATAAATTTTGGCTGGCTTTCGTATATGCGCATAAGCTTCCTGAAGATGACAGGGCTGCTCACGTGAACACGGCCAACAGAACAATAGTATTAGATTGCTATTTAGCATAGACAGACCTATCCAAATTCAAAGTACTTTCTGACTTGCAGCAGATTTCCCTGAATTGTCTGGATTAACCACCTCTGACAGGGAACAAGAAACCAAAGCAGCATCACCACTATGAATACAAATTAATTCCACGTCCAGGGTGTCACATCAGAGGGAATTTGGATTTGTTCTTCTCCGTACACAAGGACTAACATCTGTTTCGTTATGGAATGCTGTAGCCATTGTTACGTAACTTCCTGGCATAGCGCACACACGACATTGTTACAAAAAACTCATCTCATCAGTGCATTTTGGCTTCAGGCTGTTTTGCTTGTAGATAAAGAATGTGCTTTATTTTCAACCAGAAGAAGATGGCATTGCATCCAAAATTAGAACCAACAGAAATCAGGAGATAATGAGAAAGAACACTGTCAACTGACAAATATTTGTGGTTTAGGGCACATGTCAAGTTGGAGTTGAGATAATTTATGGGTCTCCTGGGATGACTGGGGTGTGGAAAGGTATAACAGAAGTATTTTTGTTTCTCGTTAGCCTACAGGGATAACATCCCTCGTGACTTTGAGTGGGTAACAGTTTTATTCTTCCAAGCACCAAGTTGCACTCGCCCTCCCCCCAACCGATGATGCGAGCGTAAAAAATCTTCATGGCTTGGTGGAGTAGCTGTAGCTTCGGTCTTTGGAAAAATCTACCAACTCCTTGTTTTTCAATAGTCTTGGCTTGACTGCGCTTTATTTTCAAATCAGATCTTCAGCAGCTGTCACCAAAATTGGGAATACAGTCAAGTCTTGTAGGGTGATCACCTCTCTTGTCATTCCTAGTAGTTTCTTACAGCGGCCTTTTTCATTCCAGTGTCTGGATGAATGTACAGGCTTGTATCAGCTTCCCTAATAGACCACAGTCCGTGCAGGTTCTTTTCAGTTTCTTCCCTTCCACTTTCACCAAAGTTCTCTGCTGTTTCTTGCAGATATTGGACCAGTCTTCCAATCCAGTTTTACTACCTTGAGTGTTCTCCAGCTTCCTTCAGATTTAATTTTGTTAACCTTCTTCGCACCTTGGAATTGGTAAGCACTTGTATGAAAGATGCTCTCGTTAACTCTAGTCATAAATACCTTTATAAGAGTAACTGAACCAAGGAATTGGGCATGGTCTGTGCTAGAAAGTCTCAGAAATTGTACTGAATGGAACCTGTGTACGACTTGTACACATGCTCAACACATCTCTGCAGCTGTTCCTACTGTTTAAACATATGCACTATGACCTTTCCCACTTTAGACTGAGCTATAGTATTAAAGTATCAAACTGGTAAATTATTTCATTGTAACAGACAATCTTACAATCAATCTTACAATCTTACAATCTTACAATCTTACAATCTTACAATCTTTCAGTTAAAAACAGACAATCTCTATTTAAAGAGAGAGAAATTACATAACTATTAATTTATTCTTTTTTAAAAACAAGCAATCCTGTTCCTGAAAAATAATCTATAATTTACTGAACCATTTTTGGAAATTTTTGGTGTGGGCCAGGAAATGTGGGTTCACACAAATATTAATTTGAAAATAAACAAAGAACTGTAACAGAAAAGTTTATGCTGAAAGCCAAGTATCCAAATCATGTCTTTGTGTCATGCAGCTAAATTTCTTTTAATACATGTATTTAGGAAATTAGCAGGAATTTTCAAGACTCCATCCCATACAAGATTTATATAAATACACACACACACACACACACACACACACACACACACACACACACGGTTGCTATTGAAAGAGTTAAGGTAGGTGGAGGGAGAAGAAATATCTGAATGATCTTGTTTTCAACTGTAGACTTCGCTGTCACTTGAAAGTGAAAGGTAAAACTGAGATATGAAGGCATACTTAGACCTGACATGCTTTCAGTTATGTGTTCCAGAAGCAGGCAATAAAAACTCCATACACTATGCTTATAAAAGAAGGCAATCACCTTACATAGATATGATAAAATGAATTGTAATTTAGGATGATCCAGTTTTTGGCAGACAGATATAATCTGTGGCACATGCATTATCTGTGGACATGGCACCCTGGGGGAAAAAAAGTCCCCTTTTTCTCACTCAAGAATAATTGCCTGAAAAGTGCTTAAATCACAAAACATTCTTACAAATAAAACAATGTATTTCATTTCTTAATTATCCTCTTTCCTCCACATTGGGGAGTCTGTTCCAAGATGCACAGTTCTATTTAATGAGACATTGAGAAAGGAACTTTCTTGAAGGGAATGGAAAGCCTAGAAACAGTTTGTATTTGTATCTCCACAAAATAAAACATTTCCCTCCCTTTTTAATGCTTACCTTCACTGCTTCCCAGCTAGAATTAACCAGGTATTGTCTAAAGGGACCAAAACCTGAAGACAAAGAAAAGTGCTTTTAACCTACGTTTGCAGTGCAATTGCAGATTAAGCGCCTGACATGTATGCACTCATGTTTGTTCTTTAACCTGATATTTTTAGTTATGGAATTGACTTTTTTAGATAGGATTTGGCCTTTAAAACACTTAAGGGAATGGTATGTCCTTTCTTTACGTGTCTTGGTAGAAGAACTGCTCCTACAGTCTTTATACATGTGAAGGCTCCTTTACAAGTGAAGCTTAATTAAAACTGGTAAATGTGTTGGAGCCATTAGGACATATAAACAATGATTTTGGGATAGGATCACCAGCTATAGAAATACCACTACTGAATGAACATGTGTTAAAACTACTCCCAGGTCACAGTCACTGTATCATAGACAGGTTTTTCATTGTTAAAGCTCATGAAGATACAGGTTTGTATATTTAATGAAAATGTTCAAAGGAATAAAATTCAACTTCATTTGTCTTTTTTCTTCCCCACAATGAAATACATGCATTTTGGTGGTGGCCATAAGAAACCACCGCTTAGGATAAAGCTGTTCTGTGAAAAGACTGAAATATTTGCAACACCTTGGAGAGCTAACTAGTTGAACATTATTAGGCACTACATAATAAACTGGATTCACTGCCAGCAGGTCTATGTTATGAGAAGGTGAAAATGGGACAGAGGCATGCTGTGATAATTTCTATAATAGCTTAAAGATGCACCAATGGGACACGCTAGTGTAAAATTATTTGAACAAGCAGATTTTTGCACCTAAATAGCTGTGTAAGGGGAGGGAAAAGGTAACATAGTGCTAAGAAGTGCGCCCATCAAGGATATGTGTGGTAAATACCATAAAGAGAGAGAACCAGATTGTCAGCCTTTTAAAAGGTTAGCAAACATCTCTTGCTCTCTCCTGCTTTCCCATTCATTTCAACTGCAGTTATGTTTGGAGAGAGCCAAACTTGTTCTGCCCATCTTGGAGCTATTTGCAAATCTCTTTGTAGCTTCAACCTCGTTCCTATGTCCTCGGATGACCTACAGTGGAAAATTATCCAGCAACTCACATGTCAAGATATGTGTAATGATTGCCTTTAGAAGAGCCAGTGGCAACAAGAGGAACAGCGAGTAGCAGCATTCCTTAAGAGTTTTAACCTTTTAAAGCCCCAAAGTCTCTAGCTGGTGGTTCTGCCACTGTGATTCAGCATTAGTTACAACCAGCAAGAAAAACTCCAAATTTGGTCCCTTGGGCTGCATGTTTAGGCATGTTCTTTCGATATGTTTAAATTAATCGTCTAGTTCAGCAGTGATGAGGCAGCATCTCCTGTTTAAATTTCCCTTAACCTGCCATGAAACTGAGACCCTTGAATTTGCCATGTGTTGCTCTAATTCTGGACACTGGCTATGTGACATTGTGATGCAACCTGGTTTTCTTGCTTCAGAGCTCCTTTTGGGTAAGCTTTATCTAATACTAGCCTGCACTGCCTTGAGCTACGTGGTTTGGATCGGAGAGAATGTCAACAAAGATTAAAACAAGGAGAGAATGAACAACAAAACAAACTGGATGGCAATAAAGAGGGCAGACTGCAGTCTGTTTCCTCCGACGTGCATCTGATCTTCTTAGGAAGGCACAGCAGCAAGTTATTTTCCGTTTGGAATTGTTAGTATGACCATTTGCTACTGTTTTTCCCTCCAGGGAACGGTTTATGACAAAGATCAAGCATGTATGCATACCATGTCTAGCTAAAAGAAGGAAATAAAATATAAAAATATTACCAGTTACAACCACAGTGTTGGAATTTGAATCCATGAAATCCATGCTACAGAATGTGAAATCTGGTCGTCTTTCAGTTCCAAACAACAGTATCATAGTTCATGCATCTGTGGCAAACTTCCTCATTTGGGGCACCTTCTTTTCTTCAAACTGTCTTGAAGCATCCAAGTTTCTAACTGGACGAAGAAAAAGTTTTCATAAAACAGAAATGTGTCTGGATTTACATAAATCACAGATCATCCCTGTCACGTAACTCTTTCAAAGTGAAAATTGTTACAGCTCTGTACTAAAGACAGAAGTCTGACTGACTGATTGACTGGGACCGCCCAAAACTTTTTCTCATTCTTCAGACATGCAATAGCATTTAGGAAGAACAGGAAAGGCTTAAAGAAACTTTTCTCAAAATAGCCAGCAACGTTTTGCGTCAGAAACCTGTTTGTACAAGCAAAGAAAAAATTAATCGGATCAATTTTTTTTATATCTCTGTGGATATTATGACTTATTTTTAGCACGGTTCTAATTTACTTTAATCAAGAGGAATTACTTAACTACAACAACGTTTATCTGTCCATTTCCACCTTTCTTACTGACTTAAACACCAGCATAACTTTGCCCTTCCTCCTCATAGCAGAAAAACACAGTAATTGTGAGTTTTATGTTATGCCTTTTATTAAAGAGTCTGGGCACCTTATACTTTTAAAAATAAACATAAATAAGAAAATGATATAATTTGCTAAAGCAAAACATTTACTTGGCAATATCCATGCATACACAACACATCATCGTCACAAAATCTCAAACTCACAAGGTCAAAAGAACTTTGGAAGATGGGTTATAACTTGCTGAAACTGGTGAGTTTAATAGCTAGTCTATCTTCATTAAACAGAAATGCAAGAACCAACAGGGGGCCTGAAATCAAAACATATGCACGTTGTCACTGCCCAAAACAAAAGCATATGAAAGTCCTCTCGGGAATTATAACTATGTGGGCAGAGGGTTTCGCTGGGTCTTGTTTTGAGTAGGAAGAGTGTGAGAGAGAGGAGAAATCAACTAAGAATAGAAAGCCGCTATACAGTCTCAGGGGAGCTGGTAATTATGAGACCTTAAGAAAAAGTCTCTGAAGAAATCTCTTGCATTGGGTGGTGGCTGAAAGAGTTTGGAGCTTATGAGCTGTGCCTTCTGTCATCTGAACGCTTCTGTGCTGAGAAAGAGGACTGAGTGGATTCTTTTAAATAAAAAGGGCACCAGCTCTACTATCCATTTTCCCCCTAACTAATACAACCTGCAAAACTTTTAACGTCTACTAGCCACTGAGGCTGAAGGAGTAACTAATACAGTAAACACAGAACTGTTTTCAGCTTTAAATGAGGCAAAACTTGCCACTGACATTAGTGAGCTTCATATAAAATTCTATAATTTTCATTCTCCTATGTCAATTCAGATTTTTACCCATCAATTCTTCCTATGTGACCAGTTAGTAAAACCCTTCCTGTGATACTGAACAGGATAGCGCTCTTATTTCAGATTTATGCATTTTTTTTTTAAAAAAGCCTGATAAATGTTATCAATTAATTACAAAAAAATCCAAGTCTTGTCGTCTTCAGGGTGCTAAATGAAGCATCCGTGAGGAATAAAGCAAGAAGTAAGGCATACTTACTTGCTTTACTAATTTTCTCCACAAGAAATTATGTAACTGTTCTGTCTGGGACAATAGAGCTACTTTTATAGATACACATGAAGGGTATTGCTTGAACACTGTGAAATACTAGGTATTTTATTATATATCCCTGCATAGATATATGTACGTTAGATCCACGCATTCTGAAACAATAGATTTCATCCATTCAGACTGCAGTGCTGGTTTTCAGAGTTTTCCTGATTGGCAATAGACAGTAGAAAAAATACAGACCAAGGAAGATCATCAGTATGCATCATTCATGAAAAAGTTAACAGAAATTTTTTTGAGGGAAGACTACCTCAGACCACTATCTAATGACTCATCAGTTAAGCACTGTCTTCAACAGTTAAGTTAGTTCCTTACCATGAATGCAAGGTTGCTGATTTGGAAGTAAAGATATTGCGGCTTGTGATGTTGCATACTTGCGCAAATGTGGGAGGAATGCTAATGGTTTGGACAAACCAGGAATCTGTAGTGTACTGACATTCATTTTTGCATTGACTTCATTGGTTGCTTCTGTTCACGAGCACTGTAAGTATGCTGGTACGTTTGGAGGAATAATGCATGTATTGTAGTGACACGTACGTTATTTGTGTTAAACTTCTGCAACTAGTGTGGGAAAAAAAGATAGGGTGGCTTTAAAAAAGTCTTCTGTTTGAGAAGTTCTTCCGAGAATTTTCTTCAGAAATGAAACCTTTTTTCCCCTCCTCCAACACTGCTTCAGCTGCAGTTGAAACAACTCTTGAAACTTTTGAGAAAATATGACCTGTGGCTTTTATATTAGTACTTACATATGTGTATATATGTCCATAACAAGGTACAAAAGTCACTGAATATTTGAGGTCGGTGCAAATTCAGCTCCCCATCCATAATTAAGAAACCAAGCCCTCGATACTTGAAGGCAAAACACAGACAAGGCTGACTCAGCTAAACACTGTCTGTTTCTCGTCTCACTATACACAAATATGATTGGCATGGCATTCTAGGTAAAGAAGAAGTGAAAAAAGTTAAATTGTGAAAGCCTTGGTTATTGCCTTGAACATTTTACTGTACAGTTGCCTGCTGTACAAGGAAAAAAAAAAAAAAAGAACCGCCGAGTAAGAGAAAAATATCTTTTGCAAATGCATTCTGACCACATTGCAGAATTACCAGAACGTTGCTTGAATGGCTCTTTAGTATTGAAAGCAACAAGAACTTGAATATGGCCCTTCCTTTAGAAACAGCTCTTTAATTTTTCTCTCTTTTATTATTACTTACATACAGATTTTTATTTCTTGCTATTGGCAGGCACTGACCAACTTGTTAAACTGCTAAGTGGAAGTGTTTCATATATTCCAATTTTTATCTAAACTGCCCAACATTTAATGAGATGAGGGAGAAATCAAGCTTTTACGCTATTTAACATTAAACGATTACGAGACTGTAAATAAAAGTTTCAGGAGCTAACACCATCTTTCTTTTTCATTCTAATAAAAACAAATGATCCTCAGGAAAGACTGAAGATGGTCTTTAGGTAGATGGAATGCAACGTCACAAAACCAGAAGAGACAAACGTTTCAGTGTAACGCTCGCTGTACCCTATGGCCTCTTCTATAACGAACCTCACAAAAATGGGAAATGGGAAAACATAACCGCAATTTCATTTATGGTTTTTTGGATAGACTATGTTATGTGTTCCATTGTGTTGCCTCATTTATATTAGGTATTCTACAACTGATACTGTTGGTGTAGAGCCAGTGCTTAGCAATAATGGAAAATACAAATTATATACAACATTAATGTAGGCAAGCTGTTGGGTGGCTTTTGCCATTTCAGTTCCGGAGTTCTTGCAGTATTAGTATAACCGTAATCAGTGTGTGAGGATACTATTTTTACATTTCAAATTGTATATTATAGTTTAACAAAAGGAGAAAGTACTTACTTCGGTAGAAGAGGATGTAAACCACCAGCAATGGGTTGCTTTTGTTCAGGCATCATATCCCATGCATAAAGAGACTGTGCAAACAGGATACAAACAACTCGATTAAGTAATTATTTATCAGCTAATATGCAAAACAGATAGCTCGGTCTAAGCAGTAATACGCATATCACTCCTGATAAAAAAAACTGTTGAGTCTTGGCTGACCAGAAAGTTTTCAGCCCAATGGGGAAAGGTTGGCCTCCGCCGTTCCTTAAAACGGTCTCTGATCCGCAGCAAAGCGATCACAAGAACGGGCTGAAAAACCACTAATGTGCTGTAAAGAGCGTTTGTGTGGTACTTGCATGAGAGCGTGAGTGCGTTTGCTGGGATTGCTTTGTCATGTAGAGGAAAGAAAATACAAACCAGCTTTACTAAGTTTTCTAAGCTATTTGAGAGGCAGATCAACCTCACAAGAGTTTTCAGTCTCCGTGCCTTCTGACGGGAAAGAGATGTAACGTCCTTAATAACGTTAACGTCCTTAAGTCACTTTCTTGAAATATTCTCTCCAATTGACTGAAAACACTGCTGTTTTAAGGTATGTAGGTATAGGTATATTGGCTTTTTTTTTTTTTCCTTCTGTGCAGACCTGCTGCTCTTTCCACACAGTCAGCATCCTTTACTTTGATAATTGTGCCTGCTATTTTAGAAATAATTAAGCGGCTGTACAACCTTACTAGAGTAAGAGGATGGCTCCCAGGAGTCGGAACACCTGGGTTCTATTTTCCACTTTTGACAACTGTATATTCTTTTAATCTCTGTACCTCCACTTTAGGGTTTAAACTAACGAACAGCAGGCTGCTTGCCTCGGTTTTCCAAAGCCCCTCGTTCGTGTTGACAGCAATCGTTACAGCGCGCGGCTGAGGAGTGCTATAAACACGTCACTTTCGTACTTATTTTCCCTTGTAAGCCTTCTGCCTCTGCCACCTGAGCTTCAAGAAACTGGCATTAGCTGTATGGTGTTTGTCATTCTGGACCTTTTCAATGAAGACTCCAGTGAGTTTATAACGTCTCCTTAGAGCTGAGACCAAATTATTTGCTGAAGGCAAAGGCAGGCCCCCATTTGGGAGCAGAGGGGCTGTCGGCACTCAAGAACCGCTGCTGGGTTGTTTATCGTGACCTCCCCTGTCCTTTTGCTTCCCCCAGCCGCCCCACCACGGCCCTCCCTGCCTTCCGACGGCCGCTTTTCCTGTCAGCGAAACCTCGGCTGG